GCTCCATCAGGTAGGCGTGGCACTGCTAACTGCAAGGCTGTGTTCCGTTGTGCTGCAGGAGAAAGAGGAGATTGTCAGCTCATCTAGCCAAAGCCTGAGAAACCCTAGACAGGGTCTCCATTGTGGGAAACAGAAAGATTTCTCCCAAGTTGTCTCCCCCAAATATATGCCGAACTTAGCAGCTTGCTACACGTGGCAAATGACTATACACTTGGAGGTCAACAAAAGGAGGTCAGGGGTTATTATCCCTAAGGGTTACCAGCCCTCTAGAGCAATCAGACTGTATAGTCTATCCCACGCTAAGTAGGGCCCATTCCCTTCTGATAAGGACAGTAGTAGGTTGTTTCCCTGAAGGAGAGCCCAAGGAGGTCAAGTCCACTCAAGAGTGACCAAGGTTAGGCTGCCATCATAAATCTAGGGTCCGCCCTTCCCATCACATGTATACCTTCAGCCCCTCCCCTTCCTATTATGTGTACACCCCTAGCTCATCCCCTTCCTGTTATGCTTATGCCCATTGTATATCCCCCTCCTATTGCTTGTATTGCCTATTGTACAGCCTCTTCCTGTGACGTATATCTTTACCTGTAATTAGGAAAGCATACCCCACCCCCAAAGATATATAAGCCTTGGTTAGCAATAAATCGCTCTCTCTCACCCTCTCTCCTGCCCTCTTGTCTCCCATCTCCACGTGGACCACCAAGCGGGGCTGAGGGGAGCATGCTACTATGAAATGTGTCTGACTCCATGATTTCAATCTGTCTTCTATCTCTCTTATTCTCCGTGACTGTACTATAATCTTTACTTATTATCGCTGTACAGTTGTGCCTGCCGGACCCATGGTGATTTGTTAGGGGCTGGCTCCCCTGACTCTCTAGCAATCGAAATCGACTCTATGACGGTGGTTTGTTCTTTTGTTTTATTTTAGTCTTTGCCACGAGGAGGAATCAGCCTGACAGCACACAGCAGCAGTCATACTGGTACTGAACATTTTAAATGATTCTAGCATGATAGTCATATGTTTTAATATCTGGTAGGACAAGTTTACTTGAATATTTTAATTTAAATGTTCTTATTACAGGATTAGAAACAATCATCTAGGTGTGATGAAGACGGGCTTCGCTATTAGAAATGGATTCCTGGGTCTCATTTATCATTTTCTAGTTATATCGAAAACAGTTCCCTCTTTCATTATCCAAGGATATCACACTATGACGATTCTCTGCTAATGATGTGTTTGTCTTTTAGGTTATGAGATCCATGAAGGCATTATAAGTGGTATTTTTCCATACTTTTTGATGTTTGAACAGCCTGGGCTATGCAGAGGACGCCCCTGCTTACTGGCAGCCAGGAGGACCTGAAGCCCTTGCTGATGAAGATCAGGGACCACAGCCTTCGGTGTGGATTTCAACTCCGTGTAAAGAAAACCAAAATCTCCTATGTGGGGCAATAGACAACATCGTGATAGACAGAGAGACAAGTGAGCTTGTCCAAGATTTCCTCTTGCTTGGATCCACGGTCAATGGTCACGGAAGCAGCAGTCAAGCCTAATGAAACCCCATGTTACATGAAGTAAAGCTGCACAAGACCTCTTGTAAGTGTTGGAGAGCAAGGCTGTCGCTTGAAGATGCAGCTGCCCTTGATCGAAGCAATGATATTTTCCCATTGCTTCACATCATGTGAAAGTTAGTCAACGAACCAGGGAGACAGCAGAAGAATCATGCATTTGAACGATGGGGTCCGTGAAGAATGTCGAAAGTACCACGGATGGCTAACGGAACCAACAAATCTGACTTGGAAGAAGTACACACAGAATGTTCCTTAGAAGCAAGATTGGCAAAACTGTGTCTCATGGACTTTGGACGTGTTGTCAGGAGAGACCAGTCCTTGGAGAAGGACATCATGCTTGGCACAAACGAGGCAGGCCACCCGGACATTCCTTGGCACAGGGCTGCAGCAACGGCCTCTAGCATAACAATGCCTGTGTGGCTAGCTCAGGATCGGGCAGTGTTTCCCTCTGGGGCCAACAGTGTTGCTACGAGCAGGAACCCACTTCCTGGCATGATAGTCAAAACACAACAACAAGATGATGTTTTCTTACCAGGGCAGAGAAAGTACACAGGATGCAGTTCAAAGATATTCTTTCTTTTACTTTTTGAAAGTTCGTCTTACTCTTCGTCTTTTTCAATTATTTCAATATCTCTCTATCTACCCCTTTTGCTTTGAAGCATCATTTCAGCATTCTTCGTTGGGGTCTCCCCAACCCAAGTCTTTTTGAAAATTATTTGTAAGACTGCGATTTGAATGAGATCACGTTGGCTAAACCAGCCTCCCTTTGGTGACCCATTCCAAGTCATGTCTCAAGCGCAAGCTGCTTTCTATAGAGTCAGCAGTCGCTCCTGCAGAGTAGATGGCTGGGAGCAGGGTCAGAGAGGAGGGAACATGTTGGCTGTGACCTTGCAATCAGAGCGAAACGTATCCCGCCCGCGTGTGTTCTTATGCCCGGCAGGTTTTTCCGTGGTCATATTGCGTTAAGGGTTGGCAAGCAATAACCTGTGGTCCCGCCCCTTATTTCTGTAGACTACGTTTCACTGGAACATAATCGCACCCATTCACTTGTCTATGGCTGTTTCCCCTCGACAGTGGTGACCCTCAAAATCATGGCAGGGACAATCTGGCCTGCCAAACCTAACATACTAGGTGGCCCTTTACAAAAAAGTTTACCAATCCTTGTTGGCATTTATACGTTTCTCATACAGGAAGGAGTAAATTTATTGCGCTTTACTTCTTTTAAAAAAAATAAAGGTTGCCAAGGAATTGACGTCTACTCGTGGCATCCGCACGTACGACCCCCTTGGGAATTAGAGTAGAACTGTGCTCACAGGGCCGTCAGGGGCTGGCCTTTCCAAAGGAGGTGGCTAGGGCATTCTTCCAAGGTCGTCCGAATAGACTTGACCTCCAACCTGTGATCCAAGCACAGGAACCGCACCACCCCGGACTCCAGGTCCACCTCCCACTGCTGTCCGGAGTTGATCCCGACTCTTTTTAAAATTTGAGACATTAAAATATTTATTCAGTCCAGGTGGGAACATATTCAAGGATGGAACCCATGCTGCTCAAGCTCATGGAATTTGCAATTCCTGGTAATTGACCATAGCAAACTGTCCTGATGACCTGGACTTTCAGACAGAGGTGATCAAGGTGTACAAAGAGCTGTAAATAGTTCAATGCGTCTCTCTAATGTACAAGAACTTTAAAAAGTAACTTCCGTGTCGTTTGACAAAAATTAACTATTTTTATTTATTATATAATATTTTGGCCACCTTCTATTCGCCACCTGTCTTAAAGCTATCTTTTGGTAATCTGTCATATGAGAATCATAATGAGGTATTTGGTTGCTGTGTCTCTGCTGATGCTTTTGTTAGGTGCTGTCAGGTGAGTTCGGACCCACAGTCCCTGGGGGTTTCCCCCCAGCTTGTCCCCTCAAATATATGCCAAACCTAAGACGCTGCTTGCAACACGTGGTAAATGACGGTACACTTGGAGGTCAACATCAGCTGCTTAGGTCATCTTCCTGAGGGGATCAGCCATCTAGAGCCATCAGACTCTATACTGCAGGAGGTCCCACCCTAAGTAGGGCCCACTCCCTGCTGATAAAGAGAGTGGATTGTCTCCCTGAAGGAGAGCCCAGAGATCTTGTCTGATGTTTCTTTAGTTTTACCCCTCGATTACACAACAGCCCCTTGGACCTGTTCAATTGTGGGGGCTGGCACCCCGTAAGTGACCCTGTGTACAACAGAACAAAGCACTGCCCGATTCGGCACCATTTTCACAATTGTCGTTATGTCTGTGTCCATTGTTGCAGCCACTGTGTCCAACCAGCTGGCGGAGGGGCTTCCTCTTCCTCTATGCCCCTCTCTATTTTACCAAGCATGATGTCCTTTTCCAGGGACTGGTCTTTCCTGATCACGTGCACAAAGGAGGCGAGTTGACGGCTCTCTATCATTTCTTCTAAGGAGCGTTTTGGCTATATTCTTCCAAGACAGCTTCTTTGGTTTATTTTTATTTTTTGGCAGTCCATGATACATGAAATATTCTTTGCCAGAACCGTGATACAACTACACCAATTCTTCACTCTTCTTTATTGTGTCTGACTTTCACAGGCATCTGAGACTATTGAAAAGGCCAATGAGTGGCTCAGGGGCGTAGAGCGTAAGCATTAATCCTCAAAGTAACAGCCTGTTTTTCAACACTTTTAAGAGGTCTTGGGAGCAGATTTACACAACACAAATGGTCGTTTGATCTCGTCTGCGGCTGCTGTCTCTAAGAGCTTTTAATCTGGAGCCATCTCCAGGTCCTGAAAGCCACACATTGGATCGGACAGATTCTGGATTTGAAGGATTGCGTCTATATTTCTGGTAATGGACTTGATTAGATTCAGATTCAATTATCATTACTATTTTGGTTAAGAATACTTCCTGGGTGATAAATTTGCTTTCTAACTGGCACAGATCTTTGAACTTGATGGGGCCTTGCAACATTTTGCATTCCTTGGTTACTGAAGGTGTGAAATTTGCATATTTCATGTGGCTTGGAGTCACAGCTCACGAACAGCGGCGCAGTGCTTAGTACTTTACACATAAGCTCATTTAATCTTTTTTTTAAAATCATTTTATTAGGGGCTCATACAACTCTTATCACAATGCATACGTACATCAATTGTGTAAAGCACATTGGTACATTCATTGCCCATGCTCATTGAATCTTGTCCAGATATTGCAGGTAGAAAAACTGAAGCTCACAAAGTTGGATTCGGACCAGTGAGTAAGCAAGCACTCACTAGGTCGAGGGTCTGGCTGGAATTTCAGCTTCAGCACACTTCCCCGTCCCGCCCAGAGAACCCGGAAGCGCCGGCGGAACTACACTTCCCAGAGTGCACCGCGCCGACGGCGACGGCGCTGCCCACGCCCGCGTGCGGGCGCCATTTCTGTGCCGGGGACCGGCGGCGCGGCCTGCCCTCATGGCGCTGTTCCCAGCCTTTGCCGACGTTGGTGAGGTCGCCGACAGCAGGAACCCCCGGAAAGGTAAGCGCGCGACGGGGCCGAAGGGCGCTTGGGCTGCAGCGTCGGGCGCCCTGGCCTTTTCGCGCCTGCTCTGGATTTGTTTATCCACATGTATCCCAGAGTCCTCCGCGGCGTCGCAACGCCTTCTGGGAAAGGGCCCCTGAGCTGGCCCTGAGGGGTCGGGGGCCCGAAGGCGCGGGCTCGGGAGTTCGAGTAGTGGAGCAGGCCCTGGACCTGGAGCTGACCGGCGGTGCTGTTGGGGCGCCTGTAACGTCACCTGTAAATGGAAACAACAGCTCTGTCCGCCTTCACCACCGAACCTCTGGGGTTCCTTCGCCCTGGTCTCCCCATCATAAGCCCCTCTCCACTGCCTGCGGCATGCCCCCCTGCGCGCCCAGAATCTAAACATGTATTTATGTAACACACCAAGTACCACTCTCTGGCCTACCTGCGTTCCGGATAGTAACTCATTGATGCCTGTGACCGCCCAGGAGGTCGGCATGATTGATCTGTTTTTAAGGAGGAGGAAACAGGCGTGGTCTAGTGTCACAGAGGCCGGGTTTGCGGTCAGGCAGTCTAGTTTTACGATTTGGGCTCTGGGGCACTGCTCGTTGTTGGAGACCTTTCCCGGTATTGGATCTGACGCTGTCACTTTGCATCTACCTGGGGCCCTCCCCTTCATTCCTGGTGGGCCCCACCACAGCGACTTCCTCCTCCTGCTAACCAGACAGTCCCTCCAGCCTGGTACACAGCTGTGTCCACTGCCTCAACCCTCTTCCCAGAAGCAGCTTTGCTTTACTGGCTTCTCCTGTGAGATGCTGCCCCAGGAAACTCGGCCTCATCCACCCCTGGTTTGGATTAAAAACCAGAAGCCAAGCCCATTGCCAACAAGTTGACTTCAATGCATAGGTGACCCTACAGGAAAGAGTAGAACTGCCCACAGGGCTGTAATTGGTTCAGAAGCAGACGGCTACAGCCTTCTCCCTTGGAGTGGTACATGGGTTTGAACCATTGACATTTTGGTTAGCAGCCAAGCACTTAACTATCATGCCCCCTCGTTGTTGTGTGCTCTCGAGTTGATGACAGCTCACAGCGCCCCATGGGCATCTTCCCATCAAGTCCTGACTGCTCCTGGGCACCAGACACCCATTTCCAGCAGCTGGGATGAGCGAGCACTCCCTCTGGGCCCTGGGCACTCAGTCACCCTATTGAGTGCTCACACGTGCATGTGGAGCTGGCTGAAGCCCCTCCCATGGGTGTCGCAGTCTGCCCTCCCAGAAGGAGTGTTGTTGGGCTGCGTCAAACTGTCTCCATCGCCCCAGAACAGCTCCACCTGGGGACTGCAGGCGGCTCCCCAAACCAGCTTCCACTCCTCTGACCGCAGCCTCCAGCCCCCAGCCCTCATTACTGCTCCAGGCCTTTCTTGCTTTCCAGCTGCCTTCTGGAGAATTCCAAATACTTTCTCTGGCTCTGAGGGGGAGCTGTGGTTATTCAGCCCCTGCCCATCTGTCCAGCCCCTCCTCAGCTACCTCCCCGCCCCGCCCCTCCCTACCCTGCTTGCATTAGACTCCTGGACAGTCTCACGTTCCTCCCTCCATCTGGGTCTGGGTCCCATAGTCCCTCTTCCCTGCAAGTCCTTCCCCAGACTGGCTAACTGTCCTTGCCTCCTGGAAGCCTGCCTCGCTGATGCCCCACCAGGGACCCTCCTCAAATCTCCCACCCTGCATGCCCTGGGTGCTCAGGCACCTTCCTTGCCTTCCACCCCCTTGATTCAGTACCAGTCATATTATGGTGCATATCTTACTGGGTTGGCTCCTCCCATGAGAGTGAGGCCGCTCTGTTCCTGGGGTGACACTTAGTGGAGTCCTGGTGGCTCAGCAGGCAAGCTCTTGGGTCTCGAACTGAAAGGTTGACAGTTCAAACCCACTCAGAAGCTCTGGGAGAAACAACCATTTCCAGACTCCCTCCTGCTGCCAGGCTGAATGCCAGGCTGACACTGGCCGAGAATGAGAAGGTGCCGGAAGATGGGTGTCCTGCCGCTGAGACCACAGCTTGCAGACTGCATCCATCACCTCTCCCTCTCCCTCTCTTGCAGTTGCTGACTTAGACTGGCTACACAACCCCAGCTTCTGCGTGGGAGCTGTAGCAGCGCCGTGTGAACAGCCCGAGGAGGTCCACCGCCTCACCTCGGAGCCATCACCACCAACCAGGTAGCTGCACTAGCCTGTGGGGTGTAGTCTTTTTCAGGGCACCATCTGAGGCCGAGTTTAGCTAAGCTGCTTAGAAAACTCTGGTAGAAGAGCTGATGGAAACTCTTCCTCCTACCTAGAGTTGTACGGCCGACACTGGCTGGCCCTGTTGGCTCAGTGGGCCCTGTGCATTGCAGCGCCTGTGTTAGGCCTGCAGGGAAGTGGCATCGGATGCAGTCCGTTCCTAAGGAACATTACCAACCTCAGCAGCAGCCTTTGAGGTCCGTAGGTTCCCAGACGAATTTGGCCTGCCACCCCATTTCACAAACTATATTATTCAGCGCCCTCCTGGCAGTGAAAGATTTTTGTCCTATAGCCCATCATCCAGGGCAGTGTAGGCATCTGCTTTTGCAGCCCCTCCCCCCAGGGGGCAGTGTCGTCCACTTTGGGAAACACTGCTTTAGATGACTACAGTAGGCTCTGAAAGACGGTGGGAAAATGGAATGAAAAGAGTAGCCTTTTCCCACGGACTTTCCAAAGCCCCCTTGTGTGTACCAGGTATTTGTTTCCCTAGTGGTCTTCTCAACCGTTTTGTAAAATTAGGAGTTGCTTACAAAAGATCAAAACTCCATGCTGTTGAGCCAGTTCTGACTCAAGGCGACCTTCTAGGACAGGATAGAACTGCTTCTGAGGGTCCTGAGACTGCCACGCAGTCAGGGAGTGGAAAGCCCAACTTCCCCCTTGGAGCTCCTGATGATGTCGAACTGCTAACCTCAAGGTGAGCAGCCCAATGTGTAACCAGGCTCCTTCATAAAAGACAGCACTGAACGCAGACGGAGAAGGTGGGGAAAGCAGGGGCCTGCTCAGCTCTGGGGGGCCGGTGATGGTGACGTAGATGGGAGGTCGTTGAGCTGGGAAGCGAGCCCTGGAGGACCTGGGCTTGGTGATCTCATCAGCATGGTAAGCTAGGAGTTCCAGGAGCCTGTGGACACAGAATTGTGTTCACAGTGAGACGGAGTTGTTCTAGACCAGCAGTTCTCAACCTGGGGTTGCGACCCCTTTGGGGGTCAATCTACCCTTTCACAGGGGTTGCCCAATTCTTAACAATAGCAAAATTACAGTGATGAAGTAGCATCGAAAATAATTTTATGACGGGGGTCACCACAACATGAGGAACTGTATGAAAGGGTCGCAGCATTAGGAAGGTTGAGAGCCACTGTTCTAGATGCTTCTGTAAATGGAGAAGAGCTTCTTTTAACCTTCAAAAAGAACCAGAATTTACCCTTTTTGTGTTTGTTGGCATGAGATGAAAATAGGTCTCTTAGAATGTTGCTTTTAAAAAATTTTAAAGTAACCATTAGGTTACTTTCACGTCAAGCGACAGAGATGTGAAATGAGAAGCAAGGATACTGTGACCACTAGAAGGTTTCCACCTGTGTTTATTTCAGGCCCAGCTCCCAGTCTGCCGAGTGGATCTCGCTCTGGGAGGAGTTGGGGGTCTCTGGGCAGAGAGGGAATCCAAGTGTGCGTCCCTCTCATCCCCTGGGACAGCAGTTGGGTTGCTTTTTTTTTTTTTCCCCCCACTCATTTCTAATTTCTGCTGCCTCTCAGAAAACAGTCCTAATGTTTGGATTTTTCCAAACAGGAGTCCTTTGAAGTCAGAGCCTTCTGATGAAAGTGCCGTCGGCCCACAGCTCAAAGAAGCAAGCCGAAAGAAGAAGAGAGAGAAGAAGAGGAAGAGGAGACAGGAACACAAGAGAACTGAGCGGAGACGTGGGCGGCCCAGCAGCAGCAGCAGCGGCAGCGGCAGCAGCAGTGGGTCTGAGCCGGACACCGATGCCGACAGGGGGAGGTCTTCCAGAAGCGTCCGCAAAAAGGACTCTGGGAAGCCAGGGTAGGTTGCTAGGGTTCTGCCCTCCAGGAGCCGGGAGCTCCTGAAAACCTTGAATCCCCTCCCGCAATGGTGGCCTCCAGTTAGACAGTGGAAGGACGGCTTAGCCGGCCAATCAGATGGTGCCATCATTCGGTCACGATGGAAACTTAGGAAACGCCATGAGACGCTGGGACCACTATTTAGACAGAAACGACTGTGCCGGGAGGATTTCTAGCAGGCCGAGGTCCCCTCACCACCCCTCCTTCCAGAGAGAAATGACTCCCTGGCCCGCTGGCCGTTAAAAGCTTTTGCACCTCAGCCCATAATCCAGGAGAAAGTAGGGCCCTCAGTACCACCCACTTTGGGGACCACTGACCTAGACAAAGTCTTCGGGATGTTTGAGTGATGGCAAGTGTCCCATGCAGCAGGCACATGGGCCCCTTCAGCCCACACTCACAGAATCACTCTTCTCTGTAATGACGTTGAGTGCCTCCTCTGTCAGCCCCTGCGTGTGCGTGTGCGTGAGCGTGTGCATGTGTGTACACACACAGACCCTTTAGCATAGCCCGTCAGCTCATCGGCGCTTCTGTTAAAGATCTCCGACGTGGTCCGCACCTGGTGTTGAAGTTACAGAATAGCTGTGCTCGTGTTTCCTTCGTTGGAAGCCTTCCTCCTGTGCTTCCCCCTGCTGCCCTGTCCTGTCCCCCGGAGCATGTGGTTGGGGTCGCAGGTCGCTCCACAGCACGGCCACAGAGAAGGCGCACCACGGCGCCTGCCACCTCCAGAGAGAGAGGCCGCCGTGGGATGGCTCTCTTCCTGGCCTGCCGGAAAGAACACGGAGCTCCTGTGCAGGACCCATGCAGGAAAGAAAGAACTCGGTTGTTGGGTGGCTCTTCTCCCACCGGGCACGGCTGCACTCTCTTCCCAAGAAGGTGGTGGCCACAGTTGTGTGTTTCCACGCAGATCCCATGATTCGGGAGAGTCACCCACTGTTGGTCAGCCAGTCTTCTGCTTCCTCAGGCCAGGTCTCAGAACCAACTGTGTCACACAGCCCCCCGAGGCAGTCCTGGAGGAAAAGCCATTGAAATTGCCTATTTTAACAGGGATCCCTGGTGGTGTAGTGGTTATGCATTAGGCTGCTGACCAGAAGGACCACAGTTCAAAACCACCAGCTGGTCCATGGGAGAAAGAGGCTTTCTACCTCTGTAGAGAGTTCCAGTCTCCGGGGCAGTTCTACGCTGGCCTGCAGGGTCGCTCTGAGTCAGCATAGACCCCATGGCAGTGAGATTTTGGTCTGTTTGAATGCCAGACTCATCATTCCACCCGCCTTTGTTGAGTAGCCACTCTGTGCCCCAGAGGGCTCCAGTGTCTTTGTAGCCAAGGGCCACTGTGAAGCCTGCAGCCTGTTTCCGCCTGGCAGAGGCCAGAAGCCGAGATGGAGCAACAGCTGCGAGCAGCTCTGTTTGGTGGCTCCCGTGTCTGCAGTCTTACGGGCTGATTTCCTCAGGGAGAGGGAGGCTGGGTGGCAGTGACGTCATGTGCATCCCCTCGCTTGCCCCTCCCTGCCATCACTGAGCTCCTGAGAAAGTGGTTCTTGTGGCTCTGCCCTGGGAGGCAGCTCAGGTGCTGTGCTCACGCCGAGGCACAGCCGCACCCGTGAGCCCAGAGCCAGAGTCTGATGTGGACACACCGAGTCACCGCTGGGCGGCTAGGGGCTCGGGCCAGCTGTGAGTCTGCATCGAGGTGGGAGCACTTTCCAGTCTTGGCGGTGACGTGAGGGCAGCCCGCTGTTGTGCCCCAGGGGTCCCCTGTGGAGACGCGTGCCTTCCTCTGCCTCGTCCACTACTGGGGTCCCAGTTTCTAAGAAAAGGCTTGTTTGTGACTGTGCTCTGCATGTTGAACTGAAAGCAGTTGCCAGCGAGTGGACCCGAGAGAACTGTAGCGTCCCACCACCCGCCCACCTGACAGACAGCAGGCACTCCCAGACAGCAGAGGGCTTCCACAAGCGGGGCGCCAGGCCTTTCTTCCCAGGCCCCCGGTGGACTCAGACTACCACCCTTGGGTTAGTAGCCAAGTGCTTGACTGTCTGTAAACTCAAGCCTGTTGTCCATCCAAGTGCGGTCCTGAGGAAGAATGCCGATGTCCCTCTAGTGGGTTTCTGGACCAGGTCTTTGCTTGGCTGTGTGGTTCTTCTCGGTGACGGCTTTCGCATCCTCTCATGGCGCTCTCCGGCGTGCGGCCCTCTCCCCCTGGGCTCTCCTTGTCCCCAGCGGGCTTGCAACGCTGTTGTGGGAGTGGCCATTTCTGCTTTTTGTCTTCTTACTCATTTTTCTTTTTTATTGAAGTTTTCTAAACTCAAAATTCTAAATAAATGTCTAAAAGAAGGCTTCTTCTCCAGTAGGGTCATACTGAAGATTGATCAGACAGAAGGCAATAGTTTCCTTTCAAACCCTGTAGGTTCGGATAGATGTTAAGTCCACCCCGCCCTCTTCCGTACCTGGACCCTATGGAATGAGAGGACCTGGTAGGATGGAGGGTTAGCAGGAGGGGGAAGGGCTTCCCCGTTCACCTCTGCTTCCTCTCGCCCTCAGGGTGCCGTCCTGAGTCTCAGGAGACTGCCCCTGTGGAGTGGGCCACTTCTAAAGCTCCTTTCCCTGCCCCTTTCCCCCACAGACAGGAGAGTCCCGCCGACACCAGATGTCAGTTTGTTTGGCTCGAAGACGTGCAGGCGCTGTCGGGGGAAACCTTCAGGATGGACAAGAAGCCAGACCCTGCCAACTGGGAGTACAAGTGTCCCTACCGTGGGCACATCGCGAGGTAGCCACGGGGTCACTTCTCCTCCGTGTGTCTGTCTGTCTCCTCCTGTTCTTTGTGGACTCTGTTGGGTTTTACCTGATGACCTGGAGTTAGGCCGCTGACCTGCCTCATGGTGCAATGAAAGCCTTCACCTCAGGGTCAGGCCCCGCACAGTTTTGCATGCTGCCCACAGCCGGGCCCCACACGGTTCTGCAGGCTGCCCACAGCCGGGCCCCCACACGGTTCTGCATGCTGCCCACAGCCGGGCCCCCACACGGTTCTGCATGCTGCCCACAGCCGGGTCCCCACACGGTTCTCCATGCTGCCCACAGTGGGGCCCCCACAAGGTTCTTGTTTCTCCATGTTGCTTCGTTAGCCCGGGCCTGGTCCACTCGTTGCGCTGCACTGCGCACACTTGAGGGGTGACTGCATCTCAGAGTGCCCTGAAAGCACCCGTTGGTGCGACACTCGGAAGCCATCGGCCTGAAGCCCTTGCCACTTTAGAAAGCTGTGAGAGCCTCTTATACACTCCCCCACCCCCCAAATCTGCCATCAACTGCAGGACCTTAGCTGATGATGCATGTTTCCAGGTGTTCCCAGCAGGCACCACGGAATCAGCCCCGTGCGGGCTGGTGGCACCTGCTTCCATAGTTGAGTTTGACCCTGTCCCTGAGAAGCTGGCAGCCATCAGTATCCACCGAGGGCCCTCTAGCCCTTTCAGAGTGAGTGCTTGGTGTGATACTCGGGACCAGAGAGAACGTGTAGCATCCCATGACCCGCCCGTCTGCCTCGAGCTCCCAGACAGCAGAGGGCAGTGAGCCCTGAGGCAGAGGGGACCCGGGAGGTCAGCAGCAGTCTTTGTAGGCTACTTAGTTTTAAAGATAAATGTCCGTGGCCCTTACTTGAGCGTGCCTTCACACGGGCAGGGCGCCTCGCGGACGCAGGTCTGCTGCAGGGGCTTCCAGCAGCTCCGTGCTTCTCCCACTGGGTCCCATCAGACGACCCAGCACAGGGTAGGGGGTCCAGGTGGCCACAGCTTCCTCCCATGGGGTGGCTGGTGGGTTTGAATAGTTGATCTTTTCAGTTAGCCAAGCCCTTTAACCTGTCACCAGGGATACCCTCCTCCCCCCAAAAACAAACCCCAAACAAGTCACTGCCATCAAGTCAATCCTAGTGCTTAGTGGCCTTTACAGGACAGAGTGGGACTGCCCTGTGGGTTTCCAAGACCCCTCCGAGTGTGGCAGGGGAGTAGCTTCAAACTTCTGACCTTGTGGTTAGCAGCCCTGTGCGTGACCCACTTCACCATACATCGTCACTGACTGGTAGGGACGCTCTAGGAACGAGCAGGAGCATCCTCGAGGGGACAAGACTGCCTCACCTGCAGAGTGACTGGTAGGCAGAGCTCAGCCCTCACTGAACCCCGGTGCCACCAGGGCTCCTGCATGGGGTCCCAAGTTACGGTCACATGCACAATGTAGTCTCCTCTGGGAGTTTTTGTAGCACTCCGCAAGTCTTGCTAGGGAGCCTTGGTGACACCGTTGGGTAAGCGTTGGGGTCTGGGTGATCCAGGCAGTCGGCACCAGGCGGGGGTCCGTCTGCACTGGGAGATGGGAAGTGTAGCCAACCCCTGGGGCGCCTTGTTCTCAGGGCACAGCGAGGGTCAGAGCAAATGGGATTGCAGATAGAGTGGGTAGGGACTCAGAGGCAGGGCCCTGGTGGCAGGACCCTCCTAGGAGAGTCCCTAGAGAGGCTGCAGTGCAGCTGCCCACCCAGGCTCGTCTGACTCGTGCCCACAGGTGTCCTCCTGACTGGGTTCATAGTGACACGTCTGCTAGCGTCCAGGTGGGGACGATGCAGGCCCCTGGAGCGTTGTGTGCTGCTCACCCCTGACCACACGTAGCTGGAGACTGAGAATGACATCATTCACTGAGAACCAAGTGGAGCCGGGTGGGGGCAGGGCCGAAGGGCCTCCGCCCCTGGGATTATTCAAGGAAGGCTTATTGGATGATTGGATGAGGGTTTTATAAGAAAATGCAGCGCCTTCATTGGAGTAATTCTGCATTAAATTGCACCCTGTTGTTGGGTGCCAGTGAGACAGTTCTGACCCGTAGCGCCCCGTGCACAACAGAACGAAACACCGCTGGTCCTGCACCACCTCAGGCTTGTCCCTGCAGGAACCCATTGTTGCAGCCACTGTGTCCACCCATCCCTTGAGGGCTTCCCCTTTCCGCTGCCCTCCACTTTACCAAGCTTGATGTCCTTCTCCAGGACTGCTCTCTCCTGACAACGTGTCCAGAGTACGAGAGGAAGTCCTGCCTGGGTCCTAACGAGGAGGAATTACACCCTCGGGCCTAGCTTACCAGTCTGTGCTAACACGCCGGACACGTCCAGCGACAGCGAAGTGGTCCAGGCAGTGAGGGCACATCCACGCAGCGGGACAGTGGGCAGCTAGTAAAAGTAGTATTTGCTAAACGTAGTCAGACAGGGAGCTGCTCAGAAGTCTCGGGAGGCCTGAGGCTCCACAGTCATAAGATGAAAGGCATGTTTGTATGCATGTAAGCGCAGCCGTCTGTCGAGTACAGGACAGACAGCTCTGCTGCGGCGGGCCCTGCTCCAGCTGCGGTTAGGCACTCACTCGTCAAACCCACCACTCTCCAGCTGGTTCTGGCTCACAGTGACCCCACGGAGTACCCAAGGCGGGAACCTCACGGAAGAAAGCAGACTTCCCCATCTTTCTCCCGCAGACGAGGGTGGGTTTGAAACACTGACCACCTAGCAGCCAGGTCTCCTTGGCCATAGAGCTGGGAGACCCTGGGGCGGCTGCTTGTCACACGGGCCCCTGTGAGTCAGCATCTGCTCGCCAGCACACAAGTCCTTTCCCCCCTGAGTGTTCATTTCCTTCTGATTGTCTGCAAAACGCAGCTTTTGGCTTGACAGTTCAAATACGAGTAAGCATCTGTAAAATGATTACTGCATGTACGTACTGTAAAGCCCTGTATTTTCAGTGAAAGTAATGGGAGAGTAATACCATAATTAAGAGAACAAAAGTCGACTTTTACTTGCAGTGCATCCATAGGGCATACCAGCCTTATTCAGGTCGACTTTAGCACCATGTTAAGGGGCCCTGGTGAAACAGTCAAGGTTAAACGTTTGACCGCTAACTAGAAGGTTGGCAGTTGAGACCCGCCAGCAGGAGAAAGAGGTGGCAGGCAGTCTCCTTCTGGAGAGACCGTGGCCCTGGAAACCCCGTGGGGCAGTTTTACTTTATGCTTCAGGATTGGAACCTGTGTTGGAACCAACTTGACGGCAGGGCAGGTGGGCTGGGTGTGGGTTTTTAGCACGATTTTACATTGTCCCTTGTCATAGAGTTGTTTTTGATTCTTGGATGGGATGGGACCAGGCTGCCCTTTGTGTAGGCACGTGGTTTCTTCTTCTTGCCTAAAGTCCTGGGGTGGGATTGCTGGGTTACAGGTCTGTGTGTGAGGGAGCCCCGCTCGTGCTCCTGAGTTGGGCTGCTGACAAGGTGGCAGTATGAAACTGCACCTGCTCCGAAGGAGGAGGAGGCGGCTTTCTGCGCCTGCAGAAGTCCCAGGGCAGTTCTGGGCCATCCTGCAGGGACCCCGGAGTGGGGATCCAGAGGGCAGTGAGTCTTGGCTCAGGTCCGTGTTGAAGTGCGGTCCCATGCTGTTCCACGTCTGGTCCTGCCCATAGGCTGCATGCCAGCCTTCGCCTTGCTGTTCGCTGGTTTGGGGTTCCTGTGGGTGTGTGGCCTGTCTTTAGAGGCCCTGATTTGCATTCCCTGGGGTGGGGGGTGCTTCACTCACAGCCTGCCTGTGTGAGGTTGTGCTGTCTGTGGCCTCCTCCCAGATGAACTCAGCCCTCGTCTTTGTCTCTCTGGGCACCCCTGCCCCAGCCCTAACAGCCCTCTAGCCCGAAGCAGGGAAGTGGCCAGGGGTGGTCTTGCTTGCCCCCCTTTGTTTCAGGACGGACACAGAGCACTTTCAGCTCTCTGCTTTCTTCCTGAGAAGAGCGGGGGCGGGGTGGGGGGGAAACAGGGCGCAGGTAGGGCTGCGCTGCCTGCTGGCCGGACCGCCTGGCTCCCTCGTCTCAGGCTCCCTCACTTGGACAGTGCCAGAGTCCGTCGTTCTGCCCTTCCGGTTGTGTAGGGCTCTGGGGACAGTTCCTGAGCGACAAAGCCTTCGTGTGACGTGAATGAAGGCTTGGAGCGTTCAGGACAGATGCTCACCAGGCCGACGAGTGCTCACGTGGACGCCACATAGTGCTCTAACCAAAGTGAGGGCGAATGAGTTGGGAAACACGCAGTCAGCTTGCCCAGCGAGAAGTCAGGCCCCGGGCGCGCCCCCCTTGGAGGGAGGGCCCTGTCCCCCGTAACCTCTGCTCTCTTCTGCCTGCCAGGTACAAGAGGAAAGGCGACTCCTGCCTGGGCCTAGATCCCCGGAGGCAGCGTGTGTCTTGGGAAGGGGCTCCGGCGGGGCAGAAGCGCGCCCACAGGCGCATGGAGCGCTACTTCACGAAGAGAAGTACCGGGCTGCTGAGCTTGGACAGCGTGGCTGTCAGTGCCCAGGCCGAGCCGCCCACCACCGAGCCCCTGGGCTTCATACCTGTGAAGGACATTGGTGAGGCGGCCCCTCCGGTCACAACCTGGCTGAACCCTCTGGGGGTCTACGACCCTTCCACCACGCAGTGGCTCCAAGGGCAGGGCCCCGTGGAGCAGGAGCCAAAGCCTTCAGGCGTCCAGGCTGACCCCGCCAGCGCCCTTCTCAAGGCCAAGGTGGAGGAGTTCAACAGGAAGGTGCGGGAGAATCCTCGGGACATTCAGCTGTGGCTGGCGTTTGTGGCCTTCCAGGTTAGTGTCCTCTGACTTCAGAAGGGAGGGTGTGCCCTGTCTCAGTCTGTTCCCACCCATTGCAACCCAGCAGGACAGAGTAGCACTGCCTCACCGTTCCCACGGCTGTGAATAGTGATGGAAGCCAACAGCCTCGTGTCCCTCCCTCGGAGCCCCTGCAGGGTTCCAGCTGCCCACCCTCCACTGAGCAGTGCGCCACCAGAGGACGACCCTCTTTTGGGGCAAACCTATTCCGCCAGCAGCCAGGGTCGGGCTCCTGGCACTGGGCGGTAAAGGCGCCTGGGATCCTGTCCTTGTCCTGAGCTTGCTCAAGGGCCCTTGAAGAAGAGGGGCTAGTAGAGAATAAGTGCCCCCTGGGGCAGTAATGGGGAGCCTGGCGGGTGGAGTGACTTCCAGAGAGGGAAGTCTGAGCCGAGGCTGCCAGGCAGGGAGCCTCCAACAGGCAGGGCTGCTCTGTGA